TTTTCCTAGAGCCGATTAGAGAGACTAAAGCTGGCAGCTCTTCCTAGGGAGAGTGTTCTCAGGGCCACGGAAGGGCACACAACTCTAGGGCACCAGATACACTTAGCTGTGTGCATGGGGTCCCCTGGAGCTGAGCAGAAGCCTGCCCCGTGCCTGGGTCATTGTGAGGGGTCTCTCCCAGGTGACCCAAAAGGAAGAGCAGTAACTGCCCAATTCCTCCACTCACCTGAGCCAATCCCATCCACACCTTTAAAAACAAAAATTTATTTTTGGCTGTGCTGGGTCTTCATTGCTTCGGAGACCTTCCTCTAGCTGCTGCAAGCAGGGGGCTACCTCTCTAGTTGCGGTGCGCAGGCTTTTCATTGCTGTGGCTTCTCTTCTTGCAGAGCACAAGCTCTCTAGGCGCATGGGCTCCGTAGTTGCAAAGCATGAGCTTACTTGTCCTGGGGCATGTGGAATCTTCCCAAACCAGGGATCAAACCCGCGTCCCCTGCACTAGGCAGGCGGATTCTGAACCGCTGGACCACCAGGAAAATCCAACCCCACCCTTCGTAACAGGAAGCCAAGGCCTTCTGGGGGCTCCCTGCTGCCCTGGAGCTAATTCTAGACAGTTCAGCATCCACATGCCCACCGCTCCCCACCCACCTTGATCCGCGCCCAGCACAGTCTTTTCTGCCACAGCCTCCACCTTCATCATGCTTCCGGCTGCCAAAATTCACTTTCCTATTTGAATCTAATACCTCAGTCAAAAGGGTTTATATATTAGTAACTGATGGAGGTGGGGAAAGGAAAGAAACCTGGGCAGAAAATGCCAGAAGAGGGAAAATGATGAAAGAGAACAGCAGAGTAGACCTCGTCCCCACCCTTTTTTCCATTAATCCTCACAGTAATATTATGCACGATCCTTGACGTAGTCCCACTTTACAGATGAGAAAACCAGGGCACCGCGGTTAGGTCACTTGCCTGGAGTAAGGGGTAGCCTGAGGCACTGGACCCTATCTGGCACCCGTCGGGGCATGGAAGTGGGAGGCCGGAGAAAGACCGAGGTTGGGGGGGCGGGTCTGGACTGGGCGGGGTGGCGGCCGTGGGCAGAGTCCCCCTGAGACCCCCGCTCCTCTCCCCCAGCCGAGCAGCTCACCGTGGTGGGGAAGATCTCCTTCAACCCCAAGGACGTCCTGGGCCGCGGGGCCGGTGGGACTTTTGTCTTCCGGTGAGTGGCAGCCAGGAGCTGGGCTGAGGTGGCCACTGTCCCTTGGAGAGCTCTGCTCTAAAGAACCCCCAAGGCAGGCATGGACCCTAATGATTCCCTTTTCGGCTGCCCTCTGGATCTCCACCCAGGGGACAGTTTGAGGGGCGGGCGGTGGCGGTCAAGCGGCTCCTCCGGGAGTGCTTCAGCCTGGTCCGGCGGGAAGTGCAGCTGCTGCAGGAATCGGACAGGCACCCCAACGTGCTCCGCTACTTCTGCACCGAGCGGGGACCCCAGTTCCACTACATTGCCCTGGAGCTCTGCCGGGCCTCGCTGCGGGAGGTGAGGCCTGCGCTCAGGGGTGGGAGCGGGGCCAGGGGTCCTGGGCTGCAGGGTGACGCTCTGCCCCTCACTGCTCCCCAGTACGTGGAACACCCGGAGCCGGACGGCTGGGGCCTGGAGCCCGGGATGGCGCTGCAGCAGCTGATGGCGGGCCTGGCTCACCTGCATTCCTTGCACATAGGTACCAGCGCCTCCCAGCCTCCCTCCGAGCCCCTGCCTGCACCCCTCAGCTCTCAGCTCTCGTCTCTGCTCTGCTCTCACAGTGCACCGCGACCTGAAGCCGGGCAACGTCCTCATTGCGGGGCCTGACAGCCAGGGCCTGGGCAGAGTGGTCCTCTCAGACTTCGGCCTCTGCAAGAAGCTGCCCGCCGGCCGCTGCAGCTTCAGCCTCCGCTCGGGCATCCCGGGCACAGAAGGCTGGATGGCACCCGAGCTCCTGCAGGTCCCGCCTCCGGACAGCCCTGTGAGTCCTGCCGCCCCAGGCTGCAGGCAGGCCTCCCCGCCCAGTGTCTCTGCTGCCTGGGCTCTGGATCACCCGCTCTGTGGCCTTCAGTGACTCCTCCCAGCCTGTTTCTTCATCTGTAAAGTGGGGATAATGCCTCCCTTTTTCCTCTAGGGCAGTGGTTCTCAACCAGGGAAGACTTTTGCCATCACTGGGCAATGTCTGGAGACATTGTGGGTCATCCCACTTGGCGGGGAAAAGAAAGTTGCTACTGCCACCTGGGGGCAGAGGCCAGGGATGCTTGTGAGACACCCAATGCGCAGGATGGTCCTGCAGGACCAAGAATTACCTGGTCCAAAATGTCAAGTCCCGAGGTTGAGAAGCACTGAGCTAGAAAATGGTTTTCATCTCTACTGTGCTGTAGTCATTGAGAAGCTTGAAATAATTCAGGTGCCCAGGCCCCACACCCAGTAACTGGCCCCCAGTGACTTTACTGTGAAGCCAGAGTGGACAGCCACCCAGATTGGAGGGTTTGACGGAGCATCAGATGAGCTAATGGTTTTCCCAGGTGGCGCTGGTGGGAAAGAACCTGCCTGCCAATGCTGGAGACTTAAGAGACACAGGTTCAATCCCTGGGTTGGGAAGAACCCCCTGGAGGAAGAACTGGTAACTCACTCCAGTAGTCTTGCCTGGAGAATCCCACAGACAGAGGAACCTGGTGGGCTACTGTCCATAGCATCGCAGAGTCGGACACGACTGAAGTGATTTAGCTCACACACACGCATGAGCTAATATAACTGTTATAGAGCAGTTTCTGATCCCCGGAGGCACTTGGAGACCCAGGATCATAGATTTTTGAGTCAGTGTTCAGAGGGAAGTCGTAGGCATGGATGAGAGTAACACACAGGAGACCAGAGTCACCCCCACTCCTGAAGCTGAGAGCTAGAAGTGGCAATGTGGAGGCCCAAGAACCAGGGTACTCACGTTAGGAGCCTGTGCGGGTTTTAAATGTTTAAATTTGCAGCCACCATTTTAACTTCTGGGAAATTCCACATCAAAGTCTAGATTTCTGGATTCTTTCACAAAATCAAAAGCTCTGCCACCCTGGTCCCCTGTTAGCCAACCAGCTGCAGCCGAGTTGCCAGTGGCCACCTGTGGACTGGGCTGGTACCAGATCACAGTCCCCAGTGCTGCCTTATTGCCTCACGCCCAGCCAAGTTTCACTCGAATGTGTCAGCATCACCCACCAGACCTGGAGAAATAACGCATGGAGAACCTAAACTAGAGGCTCAGTGGGGGCAAAGACTCTGGGTGAAAACCACGCATCCCTTTCACCAGTGCAGACAGGAGGGAATGTAGGGTCATGAAGATGCCTCTTGGGAAGCATCCTTGAGTTCTAGCCTGAACCAAATCCCGGGCTTCCACCCCAGCCCCGGGCAGAGTGCAGCCAGGCAGACTTCCTGGAGCAGAGACCTCCTCCTCATCTCTGTCCCTCTGGCCCCCAGACCAGCGCAGTGGACATCTTCTCTGCAGGCTGTGTGTTCTACTATGTACTTTCCGGTGGCAGCCACCCCTTCGGAGAGAGTCTTTATCGTCAGGCAAACATCCTTGCAGGGGCTCCCTGTCTGGCTCACCTGGAGGAAGAGGCCCACGGTGAGGGGGACCTGGGCTGGCAGAGGAGGGGGGTAAGCAACGAAGAGGCTGGCGGGGCTTGAAACCACTCCTCCCTCTTGCCCCTGCAGAGAAGGTCGTCGCCCGGAGCCTGGTGGAGGCTATGCTCAGCCCCTTGCCGCAGGCTCGCCCCGCCGCTCACCAGGTGCTGGCCCACCCCTTCTTCTGGAGCAGAGCCAAGCAGCTCCAGTTCTTCCAGGTCAGTTGGAAATCTGGAGACAGGCCGCAGGGAGTTTGGGTTCTGAGCAAGAAGGGAAGCCAGATTGGCTGCAGGAAGGAGACTCATCTATGTGTTCCAGGCAGCCCAGCTCCTTGATCTAAACCAAGACAGAGCCAGACTCCCACACACTGCCCTCTTGGCCCTGCACGGTCTCCTCAGCACCGCTTTCCAGGCCCAGCTGCCCCTGGTGTGAGGACATACACCATGCCTTTCAGCCTTAGTTGTCGCTCATGCTATTCCCATGCCCAGACAGCACATTCCACTTCTGTGACCTTGAGTCGCTGAGCCTGTTTGCGCGTCTGTAAAATGGGGGAAACAGCAGCTCTGTCACAGGTTGGATTAGCCCCTGCATAGCAGAGAAGCTCCACCCAACAGGAGGCAGCAATCCTTTACCCTGAGCCGAGCAGTGCTGGCTGCTCCACGCCCCCAGCCATTGGACCCTCCTGGCCTGTGGCCTCCAGTCCCGGTCAGGAGGCTCGGAAGCTCTGTGGGTCCTAGGATGTCAGCGACTGGCTGGAGAAGGAGCCTGAGCAGGGGCCCCTGGTGACAGCGCTCGAGGCAGGAGGCTCCGAGGTGGTCCGGAGTGACTGGCACAAGCACATCTCGGTGCCACTGCAGACAGGTAGAGGCCAGACTTGGGGGGCCCGGGAGGCCGAAGGGACGCCCCAGCAGGGACAGCTGTGCCAATGCCTTCCCTGCCCACAGATCTGAGAAGGTTCCGGTCGTACAAGGGGACATCGGTGCGAGACCTGCTCCGTGCTGTGAGGAACAAGGTGTGTTCCGGGGCTCGGGAAGGGCCTGGACGGTGGGGAGGCCTGAGACCTGGCCCGGCTGAGCCCCAGCTCTCTGCTCCGACCCCCCAGAAGCACCACTACAGGGAGCTCCCGGAAGAGGTCCGGCAGACGCTGGGCTCTGTCCCTGACAGCTTTGTCCGGTACTTCACCAACCGCTTCCCGCGGCTGCTGCTGCACACGCACAGTGCCATGAGGAGCTGTGCCTCTGAGAGCCTCTTCCTGCCTTACTACCCGCCAGCCCCAGGGACAGCGGGGAGCTGAGCCTTCCCGGGTCGGCAGACTAGCAGAGGCCAGGCCGCTGGGGCCACCGGAGCAGCGGCGTGCACCCCTCGGGGAACACAGAAGGAAGGAAGAGTCACGCATGTTTAATGTGTGCAAAGGCAAGGACAGTCCTGGATTCAACAGCCACGCTCTGTACGGTTCACAGGGTGGGCCTGAGGGCACGGGGAGAGACCACAGAACCCACACTGGACATGTACAAAAATAACTTACACGGCAGCCCCCACCTGCAGGGAGGATGAAGCTCTCGCCCCGGCCCCCAGGGCTGGGGGACACACTCTAAGACAGCACCACGGTGCTAACCTGCGTGGGCCAAGGTGCTATTTGCGGGAGGAGGGCGTCAGTCCAGGGGGTCGGGGCTATGAGGAGGCCTTGAGGCGGTTGGCAGCCGAGCGTGAGCTCAGCAGCTTGTCCACCATGGCGCGGGCGTAGCGGAGCCGGCTGGCCAGCTCCTTGGAGCAGCCGTACTCCTCCAGGAGGCTCAGGCGGTACGTGCGGAAGTCCCGCTTCTCGTCGATGTAGGTCACGGCAGCCATCAGTGGGCACAGGATGAGTTTGGTGTGGTCCTGTGAGGGAGAGGGCAAGAAGATGGACAGAGGGGGTTATTGGTGATTGAAGACCCAGCTACTACTGTGTGTTGGCAGGAGGAGAGGGAAGATGGGTCAGCTGATGGGAGGGGGATACATTTCATTTCTTTCTACTGCTGCCAAGGATGGGTCCATGCCCCCCACTCTCCACCCAACTCCATGGGCCAGCAGAGAGGCATAGACACCCCACCCCAACCTTCCAGGGCCCAGCTCACCTGGAAGAAGTTGATCTGCACACAGCCATTACTGAGGTGCAGGATGATGGCACTGCGGGTGCGGAACCAGGTCCGCAGGTAGGGGAGCCGGGCCAGCTCGTCGCCTTCCCGAGGTGTGATGTTGGCGCCCGCCTTCAGCAAGTGCTCACTCATGTAGTTTCGGAAGTACTTCAGGAGGGTGATCTGGTTGGCAGGTGAGAGAGGGAGTCCGGAGTTAGAGCCTGTCCCCAGGCACAGCCCCCACCCCGGCAACACAGGGCCGCGCGGGCCAGCCCGCACTCACCTTCTTTACCAAGGAGGTGGGGTGGGAGCTCACGGTGAGGTAGGACTCCGCGCCGTCCCGCTCGATGTACTGCAGGCTGTCGCCGTCACTGTAGAGGATGAGGCGCGTGGAGTCGTTGAAGAGCACCCCCACGCTGTTGTCACACAGCTGATATCCTGGTGGGAGATGGAAGGAGACCTCAGAAAGAGGGAGTGAGGAGCAAGGAGGGCATTGGGGGCTGGAACCAGGAGGCCTGGGATGGAGACAGAAGAGTGTTGAGGGAAGCGGACCCAAGAGTCAAGATGGGCAAGTGCCTGTAACAACTCAGAGGGTCGCGAGCTACCCACCCACCTGGGAGAAACCTACCGAGGCCGTACTTGTCTGAATAGTCCACCCACTTGCTGACCCAGAAGATGGGGATGCAGGCAGGGTCCTCGGCCTCCTCTGGGACAGAAACAGACAAGACAACCAGTCAGGACCAGCCTCTTCCCCTCTGATCCGCTCGGGTGGCCCACACCACGGAACTCGGTCCAGCGGCCTGGGACCCCAGAGGAGAGCAGAGTCAGGCCTCTGCTATCAAGCAGCTTAGACAGGCAGCACTGAGGTAGAAAGTCAGTGCAGCATGCTGAGTCTACTTGTGCGTCCAGCTGACTCATGTATCAAAGGCCCACTGTGTGCCAGGCGCCATCACAGGCACAGTGATCAAAGACAAAACCCACTTCCTGGAGCCTGCATACTGGCTCCAGGGCTAGAGACCAATCAAAATAAATATGCACAGAATATGTAAGTTACTTGTAAGTATCATGGTGAGAATCACTGAGTTTTGAGTGATTAAAAATTATAAGAGAAGCTAATTTCAGATGTATGAAAATGTGATGTTCTGCGCATGCAATGATCCCCTCTTTTAAATACAATAAACCAGTGTGGAAACTTTATGTTAGATGGGAAGTGTTGTGGAAAACATAAGGCAGGTAAGGGGGAGGAGAAATGCTACGAATCAGGGGCAGGGAGATGCTCACAGAGGTAATGCTGGTGGAAGCACGTGAAGGGGTGAGTGTGAGCCATGCAGGGATCTGGATGAAGCACGTGCTGGGGGAAGGGAACGGTGTGAGCAAAGGCCCTGAAGCTGCAGCATGCCTGGGTCTGTTATTTCCACTGTCTTGAGGCCACAGAGGAATTCCCTGAGCAGAAGAGACAGTGTGTGCAGAAGCACGCAGGCAGCATATGGAGCTGCTGAAAGGTGCGGCACTTGCGGAGACAGAACAGATGAGTCACAAAAAGAAAGGAGAGGCCTGACCACGGAGGGCCTGAGCCAGCAGGCCAACTTCCCTGGGCTGTAATGTCCAGGAAACGGGAGAAGGAAAGGCACTGTGGAGCCAGGGGCCTGAGACCGCCCTGCCCACTCCCAGTGCCCACCTTGCCTCACCAGCCCCCGTTCTGAGGGCTTGGAGGCATTGACACTGTGCAACTGCTGCAACATGTCACCGAGGTGGCAGTCGACGGGCTCACTGGCCTCTCGCACCACTGGTTCCTCTTTCTCCCGGGGACGTTCGGGCATGGGGTTCTCCATGCCTGTAAAGAGAGGAGAAGGGTCATTAGTTGGGCACAAAGGCTGCAGGATTTGAGGGCCCAGGACCCCGGACCACAGCCCGAGAAGCTCTTTGAAGGAGCTGCCCTGCTCATGTGACAGCACCTGAACTCACTTGCTGATACTCCAGAGCCAGGCCAGGCCCTGTAGACAAGGCTTCACGGCCACACACAGACATAATACTTTAGACACTCAGGCCTCTGACGCAATGCTGGGCCCTGCTGGGCACCTCTGGTCTTGAGCAGCTTGGAGCTGCCTGGTTTCAATCTAAGAATTAAAAGCATCTTCTGTATCCAGGAAAATGGGAGGGCTCAGTAAATTGCAACCCATAAGATGGCCTAACAGGCATTTAATGAAAACATAAGAGGTTTTCCCCCCTAAAATCTGCTTTATGTACTTAAATGTGACTGAAATCTAAAAAGATACACCCTAAAATTTTAAGACTAGGTATATTTGGGTGATGGAATTATGGATGATTTTTATTGCCTTTTATGCTTAAAAGTTTAATTCTTTCATGTGCTAGCTCCCCTTGTATAATACAAAATTCTTACAATATTTAAAGATCTGAATTTTCAATTAAAAATATCTATGCTATGATAAAGACTTCAGTTTGAAAGAATAGAATATTTGAGACTTGCTTTAAAAACTCTAGCAAGAGAATTCCCTGGCGGTCTAGTGGTTAGGACTCAGTTCTTTCACTGCCGTGGGTACAGTACCTGGTTGGGGAACTAAGACCCCACAAACCACAGGGCAGAGCAAACAAAACAAAACCTCCCCCCAAAAAATCTAGCAAAAAGAAGAAGAAGGTGGAAAAGATAAAAACAAATATAGGCAGATGATGATAATTATTAAAAACAGATGATGAAAAATGGGGATTTATGTATTCCCCAAAAAGTTCACTCTACTTCTGGGTTTTAAAAAATGCTTTATATCTAAAATTAAAAAAAAAAAAAGCAATCCTTTAAAATAACAATATTAACTTATAGCTCTAAGAATAAATATCCATGAGTCCATACCAACCAAATAAATGAATGGGAGAGAAGTGACAGTTCTTCCTTACAGAAGAATTTTGATTAATAGATTTAGAGGGAACAAGAAAAGGGGAAAAACCACCATTAGAATACCACAGTAATAACTGCTGCTGCATCCACCATGGATGTTAACATCAGTGAGCTAAAGTCTGAGAAACAGTATTCTCTCAGAAAAGCTCCCCACAGGATATAAATTAATCACCGAAGGAAAAACAGTAACTATGCAGTGGAGGCACCCCCTTAACCAAGTGATCGCCAATCAAAAGAATGTATTAATATAACCAGAGAAAATAGCCAAAAGAAAAAGGTAATCCTTAAAACAGCAGTGTCATAACCGAAACAAATGAACTCAAAGTTGTGCTATATCCACACAGAGAAATAAAGTATTTCAAGTGGCTTTTCTTGGGTTTTTGTTTGTTTGGTGAAATACAGTCTAAGGACAAAAAGAACTGCATGCATGGAAATAAACATAGTTTCATAACATACTTTATATATGTTGAAAATTCATGTATACAGTGTAAGCAAACAAGGCTTTCATTATAAGAGAAAAAGAAATATAAGCATAAAATTAAAGTAAAAATCCTATAATATTAAATTAGACACTTACAAATTACCAAAAGAAAATTATAATAGTAATTTCACAGTGGAGAAAAACACTGCTGTAAGACAAGTTTGCATCAATTTCAATTTCCTGAACTTGATAACTGTGTCCTGTGTTGTGGTTACATAAAAGAATTGCTTTTAGGAAACACACACTGAAGTACTAAGTAATAAAGGCCAGAATGTGTAAAACTTACTATCATATTGTTTGGGACAAAAACAATACACACACACTCACACACATAATGAGAGATAAAGTAAGTGTAGAAAAATGTTAATTGGTGGAGAAAAGAGGGTACAAGATACAGGAGGATTTTGTCTATTCTTATACTTTTCACATTTTGAAATAATATTGAAATAAAACATTCAAAAATGTGAATCAGAAATAGCATAAATTTAAGGTCACCCGCCACCCCAGTTATGTATTTTCAAATTCTCCTCTCTGAAGAGACCTAGAAACAATGACAACCCAAGCAATGAGATGTGGTTTTGTAAGAAAATGTTTATCCTTTTAGAGAGATGCGTACAGAAGTTCCTGGGGGTAAAATGGCAAGATGTCTGGAATTAACTTCAAAAATACCTCAAAGGAACAAACAAGGAGTGATGAAGCAAACATTAGGAATCTTAGTAAGTGTTGAATCTGTGTATGTATGTGTGGGGGTCCCACATACATTGTGCTCTGTGTGTGTATTTGAAGCTTCTCAACATTTTTCCAATGAACCATGCAGGGCGATATTAGTGATTTTTTAAAAAAAATGTTAAAAATTGTTTAGGCATGGCATTTAGCCACTCTCTTTTCTCAGGACATGATAGGTCTGATTCAGTCATAGTTAGGTCTGTCTTTCCTGACAGAGCTATGGGGAAAGGCATTTGCCACATGAGGATGGGGACCATGGACTCAAAGACTGGGGCCTCTCCGACTGCACACCTGAGCTTTGGGGACCATCCATTCATACACTGAGGCAGGCAAGACCGTCTACCCACACTCTGGTTTACCTTTATTGAGGACGGTGAGAGGCTTCCGGTTGCTGGGGTCCAGGCTACTGGGAGCGATCGAAAACCTCGGTGGAATGGTGAGGCAGGTGATGGGGAGGCGGGCAGGGATATAGCCAGAAGTGAAAAACTCGTCATTGAGCAGTTCGTGAATGGTTGGGCGGGCAGTGGGATCTGGCTGAAGCATCTTCTTGATGAGGGAGGTGGCCACGGGGTTGATGTGCTGGAGGGGAGAGGGGGAGTCATAAGCAGGATATGACATGGGACCTGGGTACTGCATCACCACCCCCCACCCGGCCTCAAATACATCATGTTCAGTGGCTATAAATGTGCCAAGTTTCCACTGGCAGCTTTACTAAGTTGACAAGTTGCTCACCACTACAACAGCACTTGAAAACACAGGCTTGAAAGTCATAAAGACCTGGTTTAAGTCCCACTTCTGTCCCTTAACACCAGCTATGACAACTAACCTAACTTTCTGGGCCTTTGCATCTTCATCTATAAAGTGGAGACACAGCATCAAGCTTGGAGCCCTGGTAAGGAGATCCAACCCAGGGTAGGTCAAATGCACAGTAAAGCCTAGCATTAACTATGTACTTACTATGTACCAGCAAAATACTGTTAAGCACTTCATGTAGATGAACTCACTTAACCCTTACAGAAACACCCAAGGAGTGAAGATCTCTAGTACCATCCCACTTTTGCAGATGAGGAAACAGGCACAGAGAAGTTAAGTGCCTAAGATACATCCTGAGTGAGTGGTGGAGCCAGCACCCACATCGAGCCAGAGTTAGCTGCAACACCCACACTTGGAACCACTCTGCTCTGCCCAATAACTGACCCTCTGTAACAGATTCAGCCCATCTGTTCTGATGGAGATAGGACTCTTGGCTTCACATAAGACAAAGACACCAAACTGGGAAGCAGCGGTGTGCCAGACTGCTGCAGACGATCCCTCTCAACGCACTCTTGCTGGTGGCTGCAAAAGCACACACTTTGCCTTCACGGTGGTTCGAGATTCCATGAGCACTCACTGTGCGCAAGGTGCTCTAGGGCAGGGACTCCAGCTCAGAAGACTCAGGCCATTTGTCCATTGTGATCTGGCTAAAAAGTGGCAGAGCCCATCTGAACCAAGACAGTCCACTGCCAGGATAGGCAGCACTTCTCTGTCTGCTCCCTATGCCTGCTGTCTCTCTCTGTGTTTTACATGTCTTTTGGGTTATCTGCCCAACTGTTGAGGGCCTACAAACTCTCATCCTAAGAAAAACTGTTTCTGTGCACATATGCCAGACTCTGTATGCAATTTCAGACAGGACCCTCTAAAGCTCTTAACGCTTACCCTAGGCGTGGCATTGACCGTCTCAGTCCCCAGGATATGGCTGGGCTCAGTAAATCGCTTGGTGGGGGAGGGAATTAAATAAAACAAATCTAAACTTAAAGTGGTTTTAGTCACCTTAGGAATACTGTATTCATTGTTCTTGATCCGGAGGTAGGTCTCTTTTAGGCAAGAGGTCTCAAAAGGTGGCTTGCCCACTAACAAGGTATACCTGTAAGCACAAGGAGGAATTTGGCTCAAGGTTCCCAACCAAAACCCAGATGCAGGGAGGAATCCTCTCAGGGCCAGAAAGGGAGTCAGACATCTTTTGGGCATTCACTGTGACTCTGGGGTCCCAGAGGACAATTTACAAGTTCACTAAGCAGCGCCAGGAGCCACAACACTGGCAGGGAGGAGCCCTCAGTAGAATACAGGTGATGAGACTGGGTTCTAATGGATCAGTGACTTTTCAGCTATAGCCTGTGGTGATCTAGGGGCCAGACGCTGCCAGCTAACACAGAACAGGTCCAGGCAGGGGCCACTTGCTCCTTCAGAGGCAGCTCCACAGTTAACAGTTCTGTACTTCAGGCTGCAAGTTTTCATTTGGGAAATCCCAATGCAAAGAAGTAGAAAAGCCATTTCTAACTCTCCAGTACCCACGGAAACAACAAAAGGGGTAACATCTGAACAGGCCCAACTCTCTGCCTACCACCCCCCTGACGGCCTTGACCCAGACGGACCATAAGACCTCCTCCTGCCAGCACCACTCCTGGCCTAATTCTTCCCACCCAATGCTGCTTTTTAGATCAGTGGTTCTAACACTTTATTGTGCATGGAAATCACTCAAGGGTCTTAAAATCCAGATTGTGATCCAGTTAGCCTGGGTCCTGAGACTCTGCGTTTGTAACAAGTTCCTAGGTGATGCTGCTGTTGGGTCTGCCATACTTTGAATAGCAAGGGATTAGAGCAAGTTTGTGGAGACATTCCCTCCCTCATTCCCTGAACCCAGAGCCCAGGTTGCAAGAATCCTGCAGGATATACCAATGCAGCAATGAGGCTTCCTTTGGAGGCCATCTCTCCTCTGGAGCAGCCTTTCCAAAGGCGGAAAGGTCTGCAGGATAAAGTCTGCTGGGTGAGAGGTTCAGAAAGCCCCTTGCTGAGACTGGTGGGTCCTGAGACAACTCCCAACTTACATGATGCACCCAATGGACCATACGTCCACCTCGAAACTGTGCCCTTTCTTGCTCAGCACCTCAGGAGCTATGTAATTAGGAGTCCCGCACAGGGTCTTCTTCCGTTCCCCGTCATACTCCACTTTGGTTGCCAGTCCAAAATCCCCTGGGACAGAGGGAGGAAGAGGGAGGCTCAGATGCCAGCTTCTGTCATCTGTCAATGCAGACAGCTGGCTCAGATGTAACCATCAAGAACCAGGGCCACGTGACCTCTCAAAGCCTCTAGTCCTTGTGTACAGCAAGGCCCTCCCAAGAATCCTCCCACCATGCTGGCCCTAGGGAGGGCCTCCCAGAGACCCTCCTCACCCTTCCCCTTAGAAAGGAGGGGTTCACTTCTAAAAGGGAATTGACAGGGATAGCAAAACTCAAATGCCTTCAGGGATTAAGCAAGCAAAATGTCAAGATGGCTACTTGGCAAGTTTGTGAGGAAGTAATGCGGAGGGGTGGGGGCTGCGGCAAACCACAGGGCATCGGAAGGGATCAGCTGCTGTTCAGTACAGCAAGAGCTGCCCTGAGGGAACGCCACCCCTGTGCTGGTGCAGCTCTCGAGTGTTTAAAAGAAGCTCCAAATCCAAAATTTTACATCAAGGTTCTCAGTTTAGAAAAACCGAAAATGAGGGGCTTCCGTGATGGCTCAGTGGTAAAGAATTCACCTGCCAATGCCAGAGAAACAGGTTCCATTCCTGGTCCGTGAGGATCCCACATGCCACAGAGCAACTCAGCCCGTGTGCCACAACTACTGAACCTGTGCTCCAGCGCCCTGGAGCCCCAACTGCTGAAGCCTGCACACCTGGGGCCCGTGCTCCACAACAAGAGAAGCCACCGCAATGAGAAACCCGCACACTGCCCCCACTCACCGCAACTAGAGAAAAGCATGCAGCAGCGGAGACCCAATGCAGCCAAAAATAAGTAAATAAAAAAGATATTTTAAAAAAGTGAAAACAAATTCAAATTCTTAAAAAAAAAAAAAAACTTATAGAAGAACACCCCCCCCCCCCCAANTTAAGTTTCTGTACTAGAGGATTCTAGAGGCAATCAACAGCCCAGACTTCCTCCATCCTCTTCCTCCCTCCCTCCTCTCCTTCCAAGTTTCCTCTCCCCCGCCCCACCTCCCAGCTCCTCCTCATTCCCACTGTGCGTCAAGTGCCCCTGCAGTCCCAGCTCCTTACCTATTTTCACCTCCAGATCCTCGTTCAGGAAGAGATTGCCCAGCTTGAGGTCTCTGTGAATAACGCGATTTCCGTGCAGGTACTGGCAGCCCAGCACGATCTGCCGCAGGTAGTAGCGGGCCTCGGGCTCCGTGAGTGCTTTCCTCCGCTTGTGCAGCTCCAGGAGAGACTGGGAGCAGGAGGGAGGAAGTGGGAGTCGGTACTCAGACCCAAGGCAGGGAGGGGCTGTCATTAGGTAAAGGCAGTCAGGACCCTACTACCTATTTCTTCTCCAAAACAACTGCGATCCAGACTCTCCCCCAGACCAGGCCACAACAGTTCATTGCATCCCTATCCCACCGGCTCCCTCCCAAGTCCCTTACCTGGGACCCCTCTCTCAGCCCACTCCGGAAGCTCAGAGTCCCCAGTATCCCGGTCCCGGAACTCTTGGCAGCAACAGATCCCTTTCCTGCCCCTCCCCTCTCCCGGAAGCTCCGAAGTCTGGCTCCAACTACCCTCTGCCTGACCCAACCCCACTCCGTAAAGTGAGGGTCCTCAGTACCCCTTACCTAGCAACTCCGGAAGCCCTGGCGTCCATAAGCAAGGTTCTCCCGCACCTCCCCCAATCCACCCAACTGCTAGCGTCCAGAAGCCTCCTTCCCTAGAGGCCCCAAGTGCCAAGAACCTCTCTCCCCAAGACTTTCTCCATTTCCAGTTCCAGGTTCCCAGCAACTCTTCCCCAGCAGCTCTGAGCCCCCGGGCGCCCCTTCCCCTGCAGCTCCGGTTCCCGGCGCCCCAACCCCGCCCCCAGGGCAGCTCCAGTTCCCCAGCAGCGACACTCACTCTCCGGCGGCAGAGCTCCAACACCACGAACACGAAGTCGTTGTCCTCGAAAAAGCCGTGGAAGCCGACGACGTGCTGGTGAGCGAGGCTGCGGTGAATGGATATCTCCATGGACATCTTCTCCTTTTGGTGCGGTTTGAGCAACAGCGACTTAGGCACGATCTTGCCCGCGAACACCTCCTTAGTGTCCGCATCCGAGATCTCAAAGCACTTGGCAAAGCCACCCTTCCCCAGAAAGCGACCCCGTAGATAGCGCCGCCGGCTGCGCGGGTCGACTAGGACCTCCGGGATCTCTTTCGCCGGCGGGGCAGCCGCCGGAGCCCCGGGAGCTGCAACTCCGGGCGCTTTCCCTGGGTCGGCTGGTGCCCGCGCCAGCTTCCCTGCAGTTGCCGCCGCACTCATGTTCCCGGAGTTGCTCAGCGGACCTAGCAGGGTCCAGGCAGAGGCTTGGCACGGCTCTGCCTCTCCTCGAATTCAAACGCGGCGCCGGGAACGTTACAAGAGCCTACGCGCTACTGATTGGCCGCGGGGATTTAAAATCCAAACCCGCCCGCCGCGCGGCACTCTGGGAGCGCTCTGCACTGCGGCCGCCTTTAAACCCTCACCCAGGCCCTCGGGGGAGCTTGATTGACAGGGAGCGCGGACGGAAGACACGTGGGATGCCTGGGAAACCAGAGCTGGTGGGAGGTTGCTGAGACCCAGCCCCAGGAGAGGGGGAGTTCAGAGTTTCTCCTTTCTCGGCGGCAAGGGAAGCTCCTGCAGTTCGCGAGCACCTCCTCCAGGAAACTTTTCCTAGCACCTTCCTCCAGCCCCACCCCGCCTTCTAGATTATAAACTCTGAGAACAGAAACCTGGCATGAGAGACAACATGGGAGAGCCCTAATACCCGCTTCAGAAGTCACCAACTCTCTTCCAAATCACCCCATAAACTAAAATCGAAGTATAAGAGGATGCTTGCCAAGCAAACTCATCTTCCAGACAAACCCCCTCCTCTTCTCCTTCAAATAGCAGTAGGGGCCACCAGCATCACCAACACCTGGGAGCTTGTTAGAAAGACAAAGCTTCAGGCCTCAACGCAGATCCCCCCCAATTCAGAATCTACCCAGTGATTCCCACACATATTGAAGTTTGAGAAGCACAGTACCAGAACCCCACCACCCCAGTCAGGGTCATTCTGCGAGAAAATTGTCTGGCTGGCTCAGCTGCTCTATTTCCCAGTGCCTAAAATAGTGGACCCTCAATTGTTTTGTAAGAGGGAAAAATGACAGGTTGGCAGAATGCTTGGCAAACTGGTAAGCCAAGGTCCAATTTGGCCTGCAGAGGTGTTTTGTTTGGTCTTTCACTTTTTAAAATTTGGATTCATATACAGGACTGAAAAATCAAGAGAGCTCACATAAAAATTCAGCTCTGTGGCTCTTCCTTAAGAAAAAACTAAAACAAAAAAGAAAAATAAAAATTAAAAAAAAAAGAAAAAACTATTAGCTGTCGCAACTCTATGCTTAACATACCTTCCCAGTTTGTCAGTGTTCCCTGCTAACCTGCCTTTGTCCCTTTGCCGGTCTGGCTTCCATAGATACTTAAGTGGCAACCCTGAGAATCACTCAAGTTATAAGCCCAGCATCCTATGATGTCTTTGCTAGGACTCAGCAAAAGTCGGTCATATCACAGTTATCTCTTGACATAACTCCCAATAAACTGAGAGGCAATGAAGACATCCTTCCTACCCCATGTCCCAAGCCCTCAGCACAATGCCTGGCAAAAAGGAGTGGCTAAAATGCTTTATAAATAAAAGGAAGTTGTTTTTTTTAATTATTATTTTTTAATCCCTGCAGTGTGTAATATTGTTTTATCTTTTTATAAAGTTGAATCTATGTACCAAAAAAGTATACATCTGTTAATTGGACAGCTCAGTGAATTTTCACAAAATGAGTACACCTCATGTAAACAGCACCCAGACTGAGAAAGAGTACACGACCAACAACCCCAGAAGTGCCCCCTGTGCCCTGTGTTGGAGGGTCCCAAGACCATCCCCCCCACAGGACTCAGCATATAGTCCTACTCATAGATGGCTAGGATTTATTACAGTGAAAGGTTATGAAGCAAAATCAGCCAAGGGAAAGGTGCATAGAGCAAAATCCAGAGGAAACCAGGCACAAGCTTCCCAGAGTCTTCTCCCAGTGGAGTCAGTCACACAGGACACAATTCCTCCAGCAACGAGTTTGACAACATGTGTGAAATGTTAGCTACCAAAGAAGCTCATTAGAGACTCCAGCCCAAGGCTTTTCTGGGGCTTGGTCACATAGGCACCCTCTGCCTGTAACACACCAAAATTCTACATTCCTGGGAGGAAAGCAGGCATGCAGCATAAACCACATTGTTTACACGGTTTAAGTTCAGTAAGCAACTCCTATCATTTAGGGAATGATGAGAACTCTCCTGAAATTGAAGAACCCAGATGCCAGCTAAGGGCCAATCTTTCAGCTGATGGCACTGGGAGCTTTCCTTCAGGAAAAGGGGAAAGTTTCCAGAATAGTTCTGAGAAATGAAGATCATAAATGCTCTCCCTGCCCCTCAAAGCTCCCTGGGTGCCAGGCTTTTGATCAGCAATACTAACCTGACATTTTTTCAATAATCTTTTATTCTCATCCAGGCCTTTCATCCAGAAGGGCTGTGTGTAAGAGACATGGGAATAATTTTGCATATAAATATTTTAATATAATTTAACCAGAAAGAAATTCAGGAATTGATCAGGATATGTTATGGGCTGAACTGTGTTTTCCCCAAATTATATGCTGAAGTCCTAACATCTAGTACAGAATGTGACTGTATTTGGCGATATGGCCTTCAAAGAGGTGATTAAAGTAAAATGGGTGGGCCCTATCCAATATGAATGGTGTTCTTATAAGAGATTAAGACAGACACTCAGACAGAGGGCAACCATGTGAAGATACAGTGAGAAGGCTGCCAGCTGCAGGCCTAGGACACAGGCCTTAAGAGAAACGTGCCAAGTGCTTGCTCTTAGACTTCTAGCCTCTAGGACTGTGAGAAAATACACTTCTATTTTTTAAGCCATCGAGTCTGTGCTATTTTGTTATTGCAGCCCTAGAACACTAATAGATGAAGTACTGGATGTAAAAATTTTCATAGTGAGTTTATATAACCTTTCACCCCTTTTCCCCCGAGACAGCCTAGAAAAGATCAGTCCTTTCCCAGAGACAGCTACGCTGGAGTAGTCACTCTAACCTTACAGGGTGTGTGTACAGAGGGGAAAGTGAGGAGGAGGAGGAATAAGCCTATCAACTTGTGGTGGTAAGTTGCAGCTCACCCAGGAGGCTGAGCACACAAATCAAAAGCATCGAGCCACCCCCAGGGAAGGCCCAGAATCTGATATGTCAAAAGCAGGAGGTGGCTGGTGGTCAGAGTCCCTGTGATGTGCCTTCCTCCAACTTGCAGGTTTTGGCAGGGATCACAAGTCAGGATGCAATCAGCCTCTGCATTACATAAGAGAGCTGATCAGCAGCTTGATTTTAGACGGTCCCATCAAAGAACGGCTCTTTCCTGTGGGCATTTGTATGTGACCCAGTTGGTACAGCCAGCATCCACAATGTATGCTGGCATCATCTGGAGCTCCACAGAGGGGCCCTAAATCTCCAGTGGTCCCAGAGTCTGACTGAGGTCTGTTCACAGAGCCTGGGTCTGCTTCCAGTTCAGCACTGCTCTTGGGAAGTGGAGAGTGCACTGACAGCTAGAGTCAGGTTTCAGCTTAGGGTGAGGTCCAGGCAAGTAGGGTCAGTGCATTTGGGATTCCCATCAAGCCGGGCACTTTTCTTCAGCAGTAGCAAAGGCATGCTGCAATGCCAGACAAGACAGTACCCCTTCTGTCAGCCTCAGAGTCCAAACTGACCCACTCAAAAACACGCACATCAGACTGGACAATCATCAGCCTCTAAGGGTCAGACATCTGATTTCAACAAGGACCAACAAGAAACTTAACTAACTGCTTTTTCAAAATCCAAATGTGTATTTCTATTCAGAGAGTGCCTCTCTTCTTCTGTTGTCACCCTCTTTCCAGAGGTTCCAACAGACGCAAATCTTAGCAAAACTCATCAGGTATGGAGACTTGTTCTGGTTCTAAAATCCAAAGAATTTAAATTCCTACCTACCTATGGATAGGAAAAGCAAGGAAGCTATACCCCACCAATACCTTCTTAATTTAAATTTTGCATGTTTGAGATGGCTCCACTAGCATTTATGAAACTACAAGCATGTAACATTTTAAATCAATTTTATCATAGCTCCAAATACAATGGCCACAAAATACAAAGCCATTTTTTAAACACTTCCCTTTTTTTCTCATTGCAAATTTACTCAAACCCTTAATAGTAAATTCAGCATTTACAGGGTTATCATCACAGGCCAGCAGTGTTCACTCTTTCCTGCACAGGCCCCCTTTCAGTAATAACCCCCCCAAGGGTATCCACTATCATACATTTTTAAGCAACAGATTCAACCAATTAAAAAAAATTGGGGAATTCCCTGGCAGTCCAATGACTGGGACTCCTAGTTTTCACTGCCAAGGGCATAGGTTCAGTCACTGGTCGGGGAACTAGGATCCCACAAGCCTCAGGACATGGTCAAAAAAATTTTTTTTTAAGTTAAAAAGTTAAGACTGTTTTTCATTCATACATTCAAAGGCCGGTTGAGCACCCATCGCATGTATGTTTTATTTATTTCATTCAGGAACACTTACTAAAAAAATTAAGCATTGAAGAAACTTGAATTCCCTTTCAGCCACACTTTAACAGCTTTTTCATACTCCCTTCTAGTCCTTATCAACATGGAGTTTCGAATTTATATAGCTGCAACTGTGTCATGTTAATCAATCTGCATGGTATCAGTAATAGTAACACCATCAGTGAGCCTTTATGGACTTACTATATTCCACGAGGCTAAGAGCTTCATAGAGATGATTTCATTTAATCCACACAAAGACCCTAGGAGAAAAGGATTACTTTTCCCACCTAAAGATAAGGAAAGGAGCACTTGTGCATCAGGTTACTTGCCTAAGGTCATATAGCCAGGAGGTAGCAAGCTTGAATTCCAACTCAGTTCTGCTAACTCCAAAGCACACCTGTTTGCACACTGCCTCTCAGGGCCTTGTTGTTCCGGCAAGAACCAAATCCCAGGGCTTCCCTGGTGGCTCTGGTAAAGAATCTGCCTGCCAATGCATGAGACATGGATTCAACCCCTGGTCCATGAAGATCCCACATGTGGCGGAGCAACTAAGCTTGTGTACCACAGCTACTGAGCCTGTGCTCTTAAAGCCCAGGAGCCACAGCTACTGAGCACGCGTGCCCTGGAGACCATGCTCTGCAACGAGAAGTCACAGAAACGAGAAGCCTGAGCACTGCAACAAAGAGTAGATACCCTGCTCTTCGCAACTAGAGAAAAGCCTGCGTGCAGTAACAGATACAGCACAGCCAAAAATAAATAAATAGAATTATTTTAAAAAAGGAACCAAATCCCAGACTCCTTTGGTTCACTTTCTCACTCATTCACTCCTACCAAAAAGCAATATGACATGTTGGTTAAACTCATGGTCTGAAGAAACCCTGGGTTCAAACGCCATGTGATTTCAGTAAGTGACTGAACCTCTCTCTGCCTCAATTTCCAGGTCTATAAAACAGGGATGGTTACAGTGCCCTTCTCCTAGGATTCTATCGAGGAGAAGACATGCCTATCTCCTAAGGCTTTCGTGGAGAAATTCTAAGAGGAATCTCTTAGAATAATGTTATTATTACTGAAATAAAAAGAACCTGTACCTAATCCCAGGGAGCTCAGAGTCTTCAACAGGACTTTCCAGTTCCTGGGCCTCTCAAATTTCCATACTTCTCCCCTCTCCTCTGGTCATACTGTTTCCTCAGCCTCTTGCTACTTCCATAGAAAACCAGAAAGTCCAACCAGCAGATATGAAAGGCTGAGATGAACGTAGCTAAAGAAAAGATGGAAGGGCCAAGAAAACCCACACGGGCTTCAGACTTAAGATGAAAGTCAGAGAGGAGTGAACTCCATTCCTGTGTTTCTTTCTTGAATGATTTTCGTATGCACAACCATCTGCCTGATATCCAATGGCCTTGGAGGTACCGAACAAACTGTTCAGTCTCCTTGGGGAAGTAGGATATCCTGGGCCACCTCTTCTCACTTCAGGATCCAGGTCAGAGTGCATAATGAGAACAGGTGTGGCCAACATGCAGCAGAAACTTCAGGAAAGCAAGGGATTAACCAACAGAGCAGCGAGTGCAGTCCTCAGGCTAAGTGCTTTGCTGCATAAAACATGGACTTTGCAGCCAGATAAGACTTGGTTTTGACTCCACCTCAGCCATTTATTAGCTATGTGACATTGGGCAAATTTACCTAACCTCTCTTAAGATTGGCCTCCTTGACACTGTATGATGGGTTATAAAAATCCCTACATTTTTTGACAGTTGGGAGGAGTAAAAGTTTTCCAGTAAGTGCCTGACATCCCACAGATGCAAAGCAAGGAAGGGTGATTTCCTTGTGATGAAGGGAAAGAGGATAGGGAAAGATGGTCTTAATTTCACTTTAAATTTAAAAAATATATAGGAATGCTGCACTTTATACTATAAAGGGTTCACTTCCTAATAATAGTGTAAGATATACATAAGAGACCGGGGTTCGATCACCAGGTCAGTAAGATCCCCCAGAGGAGGGGATGACAACCCACTCCAGTATTCTTGCCTGGAGAATCGACGGACAGAGGAGCCTGGCAGTCCATGGAGTCACAAAGAGTCGGACACAACTGAAGTGACTTAGCATGCTTACATGCATACATAATAGTATGATACACCCATATACTATAAGATGTATCATTTCTAATAATACTAGTCATAACTACCATTTACTGAGTGCTCACCCTGAGTCCCTACACATGCGTCACATGTATGAATGCATTTAATCATAATAACCCCTATGAATCTTCCCCATTTTAAGGATGAGAAATGTGAGTTTCCACAAAGTGAGATAACTTGCCCAAATTCACATGGCTAGAGAACAGCAGGGCTGGGATTCAATCTGCTGCCCCCAACACCCACACTTCACCACTGTGGTGACCCTCAAGAAGAGCCCCTCAGGCCTCCACTAGAGAACTGTTCTGTTTACCAAGCTAAGCCCTAAGACCCCTACAGGCAGGGACTGGCTCTGTCTTATTCTTCACTAGGCCAGTGCCTGGCACTCAGATGCAGCTCAGTGAGTATTTGTTAAATGAATAAATGAGGGCTGCAGCATGTAGTCAGGCACCACCACCCCCCCCCCCATCCCACCCCTAGCCCTAAAGGGCAGCAAAAGCACCAAAGCACAGCTGATCACTGGGGCTCTAGAAGCATTTCCGTGATCATGGACTTATGGGAACTGGTCCAAGCTGGCAGGACATTTTGCCAACACTTGTTTTGAAATAACCACGCCTCTGAACACACTGTTCTAACATTGCCGTTGCCATTACAGGGGACTTACAGCCCTGCAGCAGCTACCACTAGGAGACCAGCCAGCTTGATGTGACCACCCAGAGCAACCACCCAGCTTTGTTAGACGCAATCTGTCCTAGCAAATGGCTGAGGGCGAGTCAGAACGAGACTGGAGCTCCATGTTCTGGACACCCTGTGGGCTCACCAGCCAGATCCAGACACCAAGGAAAGCTTCCAGAGCCACCAAGATCCCTGCTTTAAAGATGAGAAATTTCCAAGGACGTGGAAAGAGGAGCAATGTTTGTCTGATTCATTTCCAAGTCTGTTATCACCCAGATGGGCTGAAGTGACTAAGAAAGTAACTGTGGTCTCAGCTCTGAGTGAGGCTCATGCAGAAGTGACTAACTCAGAACCCACCACAGACCCCAACAAACCACAAGGGCCCTGTGCAGCCATGTGAAACAGAATTGGCCAACAGCAGGCTCATAGGTCAATCACTCAACCTTGTTCCCTGTACCCAGGATCCTGCAACATAAGACTTATCTGGGGTGGGGTGGGGACCAGAGGTAGGGGGACTCAAATCCAGGTAATCACCCCATGAAGCATGTGCTGGAAAACCACAGGCTCACGCCTGACTCCTCAGGAATTCACAGCTAGTGTGGGTTCAGACAAGAGCACAGGCATGTAACTAGAATTCTACCTAGACTCTGAAAAGGGCCCCTTCGTAAGGTGCATGGGGAAGCAGTTTCTGGCAGAAGTGCGTATGTGCTCAGTCGCTAAGTCATGTCCTACTCTTGCAACCCCATGGACTGTAGCCTGCCAGGCTCCTCTGTCCGTGGGGTTTTCCAGGCAAGAACACTGGAGTGGGTTGTCATTTCCTCCTCTAGGGGATCTTCCTGACCCAGAGATCAAACCCCCATCTCGTGCATTGGCAGGCGGATTCTTTACCACTGAGCCACCTGGGAAGCCCCTCCAGGCAGAGCAGCGTCCTCCAAATGGCTCTTTCTTGAACACTCCACTTTGGCTAAGCAGCTGTGCCCCCAGTTCAGGCCCAGACACCCCTCAGGAGGTACTCCCCAAGACCAAGAGTAATGAGAGATTGGACAGGAGGTAAGGCTGGGCAAGAAAGAAATCCGGAGAAGGGGAAAAGGTCTGAACTAGACACCTGAGAATCTTTCCTGCCCAGCACCCATTCATCTCCTGTTCTGGTAAAATACAGCCAGCAGGCACCAGCTCCCAATCCCTGTGGGTACGTGCCCCAGGCCCGGCCAATCAGTGAATTCCATCTTCCTGGCCACAGTGGTTACTTGCAGCTGGACACTTCCATCCTGGATCAGTGATAGTCAGGTCCATGGGCTTATTGGAGGAGGAGAGCTCTTTCTACCAATAACTGGAGCAGGAGGGTCACATTGTAAAGCCTGGAGAGTGACGCCAACTCAAAGGAAAGCAGAGTCAAGAGCTGAAGAGAGTCTGGTCCCTGATGACCTGGTGAGTTCTGAGTCCTCGGATCCAGCTGGATGGCAGCTCTAGACTTGGCCTCATCAGCTAAATGAGCCGATAATCCCCTCTCTGCCCTAAGCCAAATGCAAAGCGTCCCAACCCAGGACTCTTCCACCTGCTCGCTCTTCTGGGAGTATTCTGAGGACAAACAGACTTTTTTCTCTGGGGTTAAAAAAGTAATTGTCTGGTGACAGATTTTCCCTGGGGTGAGAGCCACCATGGAGACAGAGTCCAGCTGGCTTTTCCTAGGACACACACGACTGTCAACACCTTTCAAGCAGTATCAGTCCATAATTAAAAACTCACTTACTATTTACGGTAGCTAGTGTTTTGTCTTGCCAGCACCTTGTTTTGGAAATACGCTTTGCAGTTTCTCTGTAATGGTGAGGACGGTGGTGGGGGCGGGGGAGGTCATGACCCAGATGGGGTTAATTATAGGGCCATACATCCTTGGCCACAGGGGGCTCAGGAGAGCCCAATGAGAAACTTTCTTTGGAATTGTCCAAATTAGAACTGGAGGAAAGAAACCTTTCTTTCAGGGCCACCAAGCTGGGAGGATGCAAGTCTGGGGCTGTCAGCTGCCACATGCCCTAATGCATGGAGGAAGACCATGTGCAGCAGGAGAAAAGAAACCAACATACAGGCCTGTAGAGCCTGGTGCTGACTCTCAAGGCCCACTCTCTCCCTCTCCTTCCTACTACTGGAACCTTTTTCCTCTGAGTTTTGGCTGCCCAGCTAGACACTAAATTTACAGCCTCCTCTGCAGTTACATGTGGTCATGTGACAAGACAGTTGGAGCCGGGGTGCCTGATGACATTGTGGAGCCCAGCCACCTACCTCCGCTAGACCGCTTGCCTATCCCTGCACTGTTAGGTCAGTGGAATTACCTTCTCTCTCATATTCATATAGTCTTCTGTATTTTGATGGTTTCTTTGTTATCACAGTGCAGTCTATATATCTACTAATGTAAAGATGAAAAAGATACAAAAGCAAAGTGCCCTGTATCTCTGGATAGGGTTGTCCCTACAATGATAGCTTATCACTTACAGAGTGCTTCTAACTACCAGGAATTGCCCCTACTGTTTACATATAGTAAATGCTATAGTTAATCCATTATAATGAGGTAGTAAAAACCTCAGTTAATCCATTCCAACTCTATGGGTCCCCACTGTTACATCCTATGATCCCCATTGTACAGCCTATGATGTGAAGGCACAGAGAGATTAAGTAACTCACCCAGGGTTCACACTGCATTGCTTCTCAAGCTAGTCCTTTCCATAATTTGTTGTGTAAGCCAATAAAACTCCTTTTTTTGCTTAAATTGGTTCAAGTGGCTGGATTTCTGCCACTTGCAACAAAGCGTTCAAATTAGATTTTTGTCTAATCTAGTTTGTATATTCTTTTACAGCTTGCTAACTTATGCTACAGAACTGTAAGACACTATTTAAAGGCTGCAAGCAGGACAATTCTTGCAAGAAACCAGCTCCCATTTAACTAGTCAGAACACAGTTGTAGCTACAACAGGGCCCAGAGCCAGGAGACCATCTTCTCAGAGGGGGCACTAGGCTTCCTGCTTGTGGCAGACACTGCCAGATGGGTCAACACCACCCAGTCCCAATCCTCTTTTCTGTGCCTGCCTGAAATGCGTCCTGTGCAGCAAAGGCTGGCCAAATGATTCCATCTGGGGCAATGAAAGGTACTGGGCTTCCCTGATAGCTCAGTTGGTAAAGAATCCACCTGCAGTGCAGGAGACCCTGGTTTGATTCCTGGGTCAGGAAGATCCGCTGGAGAAGGGATAGGCTACCCACCCCAGTATTCTTGGGCTTCCCTTGTGGCTCAGCTGGTAAAGAATCTGCTTGGAATGCAGGAGACCTGGGTTCAATCCCTGGGTTGGGACGATCCCCTGGAGAAGGGAAAGGCTACCCACTCTAGTATTCTGGCCTGGAGAATTCCACGGACTGTATAGTTCATGGGGTTGCAAAGAGCTGGAAACAACTGAGCAATTTTCACTTTCACTTACAAAAGGTATTAGAACATGGAAGGATTCCTGCATAATGATTTAAAGTCTGAGCTCTAGGGTCAGAATGCCTAAATTCACCATTGTAGATGTAGAAATTTGGACAATTTATCTCTGCTCCTTAGGGAGAAAAACTGGACCTATCTCATATATACTGTGAGGATTAAAGGCATCAATAAAGGTAAAGAACTCAAGAGGGAGATTTCCTGGGTGGTCCAGTGGTTAAGACTCCAAGCTTCCAATGCACGGTGCCTCAGTTCAATCCCTGGTCAGGGAAATACTAGATCCCACATGCCACAACTGAGAGTTCACATGCCGCAACTAAAAACCACACATGCTTCAATGAAGACTGAAGATCCCGCATGCGTGCTGCAATTAAGACCCCACAAAGCCAAAAAAAACTCAGAAGAGTACTTGGTACATGGTAAACAACATATATGTTAACAATTGCTATTTTTATCACCTGTATGTGCCAAAATGGAACAACCTCTAAGATATATTGTTAAATAAAAGGAGAAAGATGTGGGATAGCACATCCACATGACTACAGAGGCTAGTGTGTACGTGTGTATCTGTCCATGTCAAGAACAGACTAACAGTATGACAGATTGAAAATTATTCTGAGTGGTTGCCCATGGAAAGGGGCATAGGACTGGATTCTGAATTGGCAAAATCCATTATGTTGTACGGCCTTCCTTTAGTAACTGGATAGGACTTTTGGAATTGTGCACTCAAATTACTTGGGCTTCCCTAGTGGCTCAGCAGTAAGGAATCCACCTTCAGTGCAGGAGACATGGGTTCGATCCCTGGGTCAGGAAGAGAAGGAAGGTCCGTTGAAGAAGGAATTGGTAACCCCCTCCAGTGTTCTTGCCTAAGAAATCCCATGGACAAGAGGAGCCTGGTGGGGCAGTCCATGGGGCTGCAAAAGAGTTGGACATGACTTAGCGACAACAGCTGAAATTACCTAAAGATTTTTAAAAGGTTCAGGAAAATAAACACCCCACTTTCTCTTAATTTTGGTTGTTCATCAACAAAATGGATAGTCAAAAAAATCACACCAATTATAAAATAAGTAAATAAAAGAAGAAAACAGACAGTTAGTCACATCAAGTGACTAACTTTTGGAGGTATTCAAACACAGGCTGGAAGGGAATCTATCGGACACACCCTGGAAGATTTCTCTAGGGAGCAAGAGGTTAGCCAAGGGCACATCTAAGCTTTGCCAACTCCAAGATCCTCCTTTTTGGTGGTCCAAAGAGAAGGAAGTTGGAGTATATGACTCCCCAAACAGCTGCAACCATCAGAGACTGCTGGCATGAGACTGGATGCAGTGGACTGTCCCATCTCACTGGGGCAGAGCTGAAGAGCGTGGGCTGCGGAGCCAAACACTTGAGTGTGACTCCTTCACCATGCCCATTAGACCAAGTTATCTAACATATTTGCTTTTTATCCTCACCAGTAAAGTGGTGATAACATCCAGCTTATAGGGCTGGTGTGAGCTCTAAGTAGGCAAGTGACTACAAAGCCTGTAGGAGGACACTGGGAACACAGTGAGGTGCTCAAGGAAGACAGGTCGCCATTGCTGGAGGTGGACAGTGATCATCTTCAAGTGACTTGTTTCATGTGTTATGCCTTTAATGTACAAACATAAAAAATAATAAACCAGAAAGCAGTTTTACATTGAACTAGCAAAAATGACTACATACAGTTCTTTTTGCAAACCCCAGACCAGATGTTAAGTCAAGACAGTTGCTGCTAGATTCTAACCTTTGAGGCTGAACTGTCCTACCCCATTCACAGCAGCACTAGAGCATCAAGCAAGGCCAACCTTTTCAGGCCTTCACTTCTAAGTGTTCCTACTAGAGCAGAACAGGAAGGGTTGTGCTATTGCCCAGAAGATAAGAACAGCACTGGCAACTTTGTCTACTCCTCAGGGCTCCATGCCCCCAGAATGATTTTAAGAGGCCCCCATGTACACATGAGATTGGGCCCAAGCATAGATATTTTGGTCTGAACTGTGAGGTTTATGGCAAACGTAGTGTTGTTTGAATGGTTCCAGGCCAGGGAGCAAGAGTCACAAATGCTACATCTCCAGTGAAATAAGGCATACACTGCTGCCCCTAAATACCATGAGACAAGGAGTGGCTGCCAGTCTAGTCCATCCACATGGGAGACTTAAACCTGGTTCTTCGCAAAAATAAAATCTGGATGCTAAGGGATGCTTTCTGGATGCCTGCACTAAGCTTTTAGTAAAAGCCAATGCCCTAGAATAGAATGCTAATGAGTCTTTAATTATTCACCCTGAATTAAGATGATCAGGTTATTTTGGAAAGAAGAGAAATACTAACCACCCTCCCTTCAAGTTTTAGTAGCCAACAGGAATCTGGGCTCTGAAAATTGGCAAACAGTTTTTTTGCAGATGACAAGCAGCTGTGGCAACTGGCTAACTGCATGAGCAGCAGGGACGCCAACAGGGACCCCTGTGAGTGGTGCTCACTGTGGCAGCTCATGGCCACGGGCCACACGCAACTTCCCTGCTGGGGCAGAGTGCCCTGCTCCATCCGGCTGTCTGCAGGGCCAAGGGGTAGGAGTGCTGGGAACAGATGAGACTGTGCTCCCCACATCATGGTACAGAGTAGTGAATAGATACAGTTTAAGCACAGCATCTGGAGACAACCCTCCAGTCATTCTGTTATTAAAGTCTTAAGAGCTTAGAGCCTGGGAGGATTGAGAAATTCTAAAGAACGAAACCAAAAAAAAAGAAATAAAAAAGAGGGTGGGAGGTGTCAAAGACACAAGAGCTCTTTGTAGATGCTGTCTGGCGCACTTTGTCCCCAAGTTCATCTTAGAGCTCAAGCGAATTCGAGACACAAGGCAGACATTAGACCTGTGTCAAGGGCAAAAACTTCTGGTAGTAGCTCTTGGTGACGTCAATCATCAGCTCCTGGGTACATTCTGGGAGCTCCCCTGAGAAGAGTCCTGGGGAAAGAAAGACCTGGTCAACCGAAAGGAGCCAGAGGAGGCCCACAGGCAGCTCTGACTTCTGCTGAAACCTCTAGAAGCCTTCTTTCTTTAGCTGCAAATGTCTAAATACTAGGTTTTCCATCTTTGGTGCTAACAGAATATTTCCTGACCATATATTCAAGATACTATGAATCTGTGTGTGGGGGGGCATAATACTATTCTCAAAATGCAGAAATATATTCCAAGTAAAAGAAGTTAGTACATTACTGAAGAGTTAAGGCAATTTGACTACCTCAGAGGCTGCTCCAGGCAAGGACTCATCTGTACCCTGGATGCTGGGTGATGCCTGTAGGGCAAGCCAAGGTAAGTGCTCTTCAGGGGGGAAACTGCCCTGCTATTCACACAATGAAACTGAATCCAAGGCCTGAGCAGCGACATATATTTAATCATAGATGGGAGTAGAACAGAAATGCCCAACTAGACAAAAGATGGGGGAAACTTTTCGAAGAATTTCCAGGGAAGAGGCACTCACACAGTATAGTATTAGTATAAACTCACACAGATGTTTGAAGAGCAATGTAGGAATAACTAGCATAACTTAAAAGTTCATACCCTGTGACCTGATAATCCAACTTTTAAGAATTTATTCCACAGATAATCTTGCCCAATTGCACAATATAGATACAAAAACATTAATGCAGCAAAGTCTGTAATTATGAAAAACCAAGTATAACTTTTTTTGATCCACTATACCAGAGGATGATTAGTTATACCATGGGATATTTATGCAATGCAAACCCTGTAGCCATTAAAAGGAATGAGGTAAATTGCTCCATACTGACAAGAAAAGATGCACAAGATACACTAAGGAAGCAAGTTTCCTAACAGAATAGAGAGTGTGATTCTATCTACATATATAAAATCAGTTTCATATTATATACACAAATACACACACATACATAAACACACAAAAACACATATACTCTTGCATACACACAGAGAGAAAACAAGAATGAAAAAATGGTCGTAAAAAAATACACAACTCTCTCAGGCACCTTTTACAACTATATATTGAATCTGTATAGTATTTAATCTACTAAAAAAAACTTGTACTCAACAATTAAAAATTCAGAAATATCACATAAAAATTCAGATTTTTAGCTCCTCATGAAACAACAGAAGTTCACATAATCTCATGCCTGTATTCTTAAACATCTATGATAGATGATTACTTCAACCATTTACATATTTTGTCTGGCTCCTGTGGGCATCTGAGTTTTTGGTTCCTAACTCAGAATCTTTCTGGATGCCTTGCCTTTCATTCTGGGAGCCTTCCAAAAATATGCTAGTTTTCCTACCACCCCACTCCTCTTGATTAAAGAGGGTAGTTGTCAACAGTAGTATCTAGATGGTTAGCATTTGTTTGTGAAACGACACAAATAAACATGAGAAGTACCCTGCTAGTGCAAAAAGTACATGACTCTAAATATAAAGAGTCTTGGGAGCTCCGTGGTGGTCTAACGGATTTGCTGCTTTCACTGCCCTGGCCCAGGTTCAGTGCCTGGTTGGGGAACTGAGATTATATAAGCTGAATAGCCAAATAAAAATAAATAAATAAATAAGGAGTCTTAAGTGTTTGTTAAAGCATCCCCCCTAACCAGCACTGACACCCTGGACAATTCAACCTCTCCAGGCCTCAGTTTCCGCACCTACACAATGATCTCTAAGATCCCAGGCAGAACCCCCACACACAGAATTTACTGGGATTTCAAATACCTAGAAATGCTTCCCTGCAATCTGCCATCAGTGCTCAAAGATCATAAGTTGGTTCTAAGGGCCTTGAATAAATTAAAAGAGATTAAACTATTTCTCCAACAACATACTTCTCACCTCAGATCAGACGCCTGTCTCACAACCACTTAAAACAATTAAGGCTGTTCTGATCTAGCGCTTGCTAAGAGCTGTTAAACTGTCTCACAGTGGGAACTTAGTACGGGAGAATTACTACATGAGTCTCTTCCTCCTCTACAAATGCAGAGATGCATCAAAGTGCAGAATGGCTCATTTCCTCCCCAAAGAATCTTAGTGGATGGTTTTTGTATCTCTTTGAAATTCATATTCAATGATCTGAGTAATGAGATTTTTTTTTTATATTGGAAAAACAATTAAACCACCCAGTGGTTAGATACCATATACTGTCAAATCTCTCTCTTCATTATCATCTTCCATCTGTGAATCTGTCATGTACCTCTGTATGTTCTATGAGGTTTCCACTGAGTAAAACAACAGGTAGAAGAAAAGAGACTGTCTTGAGGTTGGGGTGGGGGAATGTGAGGTTTTCCTTTTCCTTTTGCTTTTTGGTGTTTTCCAAGCTTTCTACAATGAGCATGGATTGCTTCTGTCTCCCCACATTTGTAATCTGCATCTCTTGGGCTCATAAGGACTTTGCCTGTGGGTATTCCATCAGCCAAGGTCAAATGATAATATATTTGCTTTTCTCGGATATCCCAGAGCTCTCACTGGTTTTTGGCCATGTTTTATGGTAATTTTTCAGTTAGGGCATTTCTGAGCAGGCAGGAAGTACAAGTTCAAACCTCCAACCACTGTGAGGGTAAGGCCATAATCTGGAGAGACTTTCTTTTTCCACCCAGAGCCCAGGCCAAGAGAGACACTCTTCTTTGTACGTTTCCAGTGCTGGGGGCAGATTCAACCTACATCAACTTTTTAACTGAGGGAAAGCCCTTCAAGAGGATCTTGTTGCCCTGTGTGGATCTGAGGGTTTATCTCTCATCCCAAATGAGCATCAAAGCCTAAACCATACTACTATAGAGATGGCATCACCGAAGCATCCTTGAAAGTCTGGATTTAGTTTACACTTTGCTTCTGATCCTTAGTAATTTCCTTATGAATCCAATTATGCATGTAAAAAGATACAAGTTATATTTTGAATAGCATTTCTAGGTATTCTGTATCAGGAGACTATTTCAGTTAGCTAGACTAACATACTGTTAAGAGACAGAAAATGCATGCATGACTTTTGTGAGAGAAAATAAAACTTGAGTTTTAATAATTAACATCCACGGGTTACCTGGGCAGCCTGAGAAGATGGTGAACGGTGGGACCACAGTTTCTGGGGGTAATACTGTGTTGTCAAGAATTTTGCAACAGTCTTTCAACACACACCGGCGCCCCTGGAATTAAAATCTTGTTAATAGGAAACAGACCAGGAAATTGGAGTAAAAGTTGTCTTGTCTGCTGTGTTACTGTTGTTGTTTAGTTTCCAAGTCATGTCTGACTCTTTGCAACCCCATGGACTACAGCCCATCAGCTTCCTCTATCCACGGACCTCGCCAGCAGAGAATACTGGAGTAGGTTGCCGTTCCCTTCTCCAGGGGCTCTTTCCAACCCGGGGATCGAACCCAAGTCTTCTGCATCGCAGGCAGATTTGTTTACTGTCTGAGCCACCAGGGACGCCTATAATCATCATGGTCAGGGACAAAAGGGTTGGCCACAATTCCCTGCTGCAGGTGGGACCTGACCAGCATGAGGTAGAAACGCGCGTGTGTGTGTGTGTGTGTGTGTTTAAATTTGAAGTGGGGGTTGTACACTAGGGACAGTTCAGGCTATCTTAGGCATTTCAGACTATATTAAATTTGATCTTCAAGAATTCTGTTTAATTTTCTTTGCTTTTACTTAGTGGATATCTGTTGTTGTCCTTGTCCGACATCCATTTCCCTTTCTTCTTGTAACAGAACTTTTATTTTCGTTGGATACCACCCCATCCCTATCTCAGTTCATATGCTTCATCTCTCCAAACTCTAAACCTCAAGCCTGGCCACAGCCATTGGTTTAGAGAATCAGCGTATGAACTGTGATGAACCTCAACATCAGGGCTTCTGCTGGGACTACTGGGAAAAGAAGCTCTTTCCAGTAAGGATTCTAGAAGATAGGACAGAATCTTGGACCAGCCACTGGTTTCCACCACGAAAGGACCTGTCTGAGAGGCTTCCAGAGGAAAACAAAAACAGGAAGGAGATTAATTCATGTGACATCAACTGAGATGTCAGTTGGAGCCATTTGTGTATGAAATTAGGATCTACTTCTGTGACCCTGGTTCATATTAGCCAGTACGTTTGTTTTGCACGTATCAGTTTAAGGTCTGTTGTTTTTCTCTTTTTTTTAAAGGTTTATTATTATTATTATGCTCTTCTTTTTTTTTAAGATTTATTTATTTACTCATTTATTTTTTTCTGCACTGGCTCTTTGTTGCTGTGTGTGGGCTTTCTCTAGTTGCGGTGCATGGGCTTCTTATTGCAGTGGGTTCTCTTGTGTTGTGGAGCAAGGGCTCTAGGTACATGGGCTTCAATAGTTGCAGCTCATGACTCTAGAGCACAGGTTCAGTAGTTGTGATCCGTGGGTTTAGCTGCCCTGCAGCATGTGGGATCTTCCCAGACCAGGGAACGAATCAGTGTCTCCTGCATTAGCAGGTGGATTCTTTACCACTGCACCACCAGGGAAGCCTCTGTTTGTTCTTTTGTAAACTCCAACTGGACAAGTCTTGGGAAATTCTTCTGGATATGAAGTTAACAGTTCACTTATTCTGCCATGGGTAAATGGTAGTTATTAGGTAGTCATTCAATTCTGCCAACACCCACAGCATTTTGGGGGCAAGAAATAAGGTTTGGGAGAGTCATGTGTTTCATGACTTAGGGAAAAGGAGACACTTCTGTATATGGTTAAAGCTGTATCTCAAAAAAATAAAATAAAATAAAATAAAGCTATATCTCAGATGCCTTCTGCCTGGCATCTCCCTTAGCAAGAAAAACCAGATATGCAGATGATACCACGCTAATGGCAGAAAGCGAAGAGGAACTAAAGAGCCTCTTGATGAGGGTGAAGGAGGAGAGTGAAAAACACAGCCTAAAACCCAAAAATAAAAAACTAAGATCATGGCATCTGGTCCCAATATTTCATGGCAAACAGAAGGGGAAAAGGTGGAAGCAGTGACAGATTTCCTCTTTTTGGGCTCTAAAATCATATGGTTGGTGACTGCAGCCATGAAATTAGAAAAAGACTGCTTCTTGGCAGCAAAGCTATAACAAACCTAGACAGTGTGTTTAAAAAGCAAAGACATCACTTTGCTGACAAAGGTCCATATAGTCAAGGCCATGGTCTGTACAGCAGGCATGTACAGATGTGAGAGCTGGACAATAAAGGCAGAGCACCGAAGAATTGATGCTTTCAAACTGTGGTGCTAGAGAAGACTCTTGAGAGTCCCTTGGAAAGCAAGGAGATAAAACCAGTCAATCTTAAAGGAAATCAATCCTGAATATTCATTGGAAGGACTGATGCTGAAGCTGAAGTTCCAATATTTCAGCCACCTGATGTGAACAGCTGACTCACTGGAAAAGACCCTGATGCTGGGTAAGATTGAAGGCAGAAAGAGAAGAGGGTGACAGACAATGAGATTGTTGGATGGCATCACTGATTCAGTGGATATGAACCTGGGCAAACTCAGATGGTGAGGGACAGGGAAGCCTGGCGTACTGCAGTCCACACTGTTGGGAAGAGTCAGACACAACTTGGCAACTGAACAACAACGTGTCTCAGACGACTTGCTGAGTAAATGAAAGTCTTGGTCTTTACCAGTTGCATTTACATGATCCAAGCCTATAGTTCACTTGTGTTCTGGTCAGAGTATCAGATAAAACATACTGGGCTGAGGATGTGGAACACATAACAAATACCAAGATAATGCTAACACATCTAGATCTCAGACTTTACCAAAGAATAGGAAACATACTTTGATTTTGTTGTGTTCAAATTTTCCCCCAATATTAAATACCTAAATTGTATATATGTCCAAGAGCTCCTGGGTAGATGGCCAAATGAATTTTTTAAAAAGCTTATACCTCTAAGGTCTGAATTTCTTCAGGGGCTAACTAAGTTGTCTCCAGCTGGGTGGATAATAGCCAAGTTGGGCAACATCTTTAGGTCAGAAGCAAGTTATGACTGCATATCTTCACTTCTCCTTGGAAAACTCTCTTCCATGAATCACCTGTTATTGGCAATATCAAAAATGGAGCAGATGGCCAGCTCCCCTGGTGACTCCCAAATTAACTCAAAGATTCCCTAAGATGCAGAGGCTCCTAAAAACTCAGACCAAGCACGTGGGGCACTGAGAAAAGGAAACAAGGTGCTGCATATGGCAGGACACACTCACAGACAGGGGTCCACAGACAAAGGGCCCTGGAAAAGAAGAGCAGTGGAAATGAGCTTTCCCACTGTGCACCCCGGTTACCAAACAGCCCGAGGGCACCTGCTTGTCTAGTTAGCCATTCTGCCCACTCAGAGAAATGTGCTCATCTGAGTTTCAGAGAAATCTGAGTACATTGATCAATTCCACAGCAGCAAAATAATAAATGCAGGTACTTCTTAGGGATGAATGAGTTGGCAATAGCTGAGGAGGTAAAGAGCTGTAACTGCTTCTTTATTCCTTCCTGGAGAACTTTTCAAGAAGGAGTTAAGAACTACATGTTGCTGATATTACAGCTACCCTTATCTCCTTTTTTTTGCTGTTTTCTTTTTTCTTCCTTTTTTTCTTTTTTTTTGGTTGCACCGAATGGCATGTGGGATCTTAGTTTTCCGACCAGGGATCAAATTCGTGCCCCCTGAATTGGGAGCATGGAGTCTTAGCCACTGGACTACAAGGAAAATCCCATATCCGTTTATCCAAGTTATTTAGCAAATTTCTTCCATCCTGTGAAAAAGCATGTAAAACCAAGCCTGCCGGGATGCTATTAAGACTAAAGATAAATGTAAACCTCAAGGCATGATAACAGTTGTTTCGTAATGCCTGTTAGGCTTTTCCCGAAGACTTCTGGGCAATTCTGATTAACACTCACACCCTCCCATATCCAAGCATAAGTTACAGTACTACATGAGATGCTACAGGAAGGATCCGTGTGTCTGGGGACAGCTCGACTCTAAAGACTTCCTACTAGCTTTGAGATTCTCAAAGCATCTTTCTCCTTAGAATTTGTAAAGGCTCAGCAAATAAGTACAGCCAGTACTGAACAATGACAATACCGGGAGCTGATGCACTGAAAAGTGATACAAAAAGTAGACCGCTGATCAATAGGACTAGAATTTCCTAAGCATTAGGAATAGCATTTGGTTATTAACCATTCAGACATCTGGCTCTGGACCTAAAGGACTAGGCTACTATGCTGATGTCTTCACATTACTGAGGGAAATATCAGAAAAAATCAGCTGTGGCTTCGAAAGCCTGCTCTAATCAAGCAGTTAGTGAGGAAAGAGGATGGATTTCACCATCTTCTCCCTCTCCTCAACATCAGGCTGAACCAAAGACATTCTGTCTCTAATACATTTTAAGGTACTCCTCCAGAGAATATTTGGCAAAACAACTGCTCCCCTTAATTCTGAGTAACAAGTCAGATTGGAATGTTTTTCTTAGCAATGTGGTTCTCCGCACTGTCCATCTTTGCTGTAGCCTCATGGCTCCTGGAAAGTGACTGCATGGTTTCTGCAGATTTTCTGATACTTTAGGGTCTGAGTCTTATCCAGAGCAGATAGCTGACTCTGTGTTAACAGGAGCAGCCATTTAAAAACAAGAAAGGGGTCTTGGCTTTTCCCAGAATCTGAGGGACAAATATAAAATGTAGGAAATATTTTCCCTGAAAATTTAGGGAGTTTGGCTCTGATCATTCTCACTCAGGATGGACTCAGAAATCCTAACTGAAATCAACCTCTTCATCTAAGAAATATCAAGAAATTCAGCCTTGGGAAGCTTTAGCTGGGTTAATGCTTGGCATTAACAAATTAATGCCGTGGCGCCTGTGGATCTGTGTCCTACAGGTTCTGCTGAGTGAGGGGCTCACGAGCACCTGGCAGGTCCAGCATCTTGAACTACGTGCAGCTCCTTTATTGTCATGTCCTTTGGTGAGTGTGACCCTTACACATACCAATCTCTCCCCTGAAACACTCTCTCCTCTTTTGTCTATGAGCCAATTTTGCTTCACCCTTCAAGATCCCCTCATCCCACTAGACTGTAAGATTCTTAAGGTGAGGTGACAGGTAGGCCACATAGTGGCATGCCTATTCATACCACTAGGGTTCAAATTCAAACTCTAGCATTCACTAGCCTTGTCAAATCCCCTAATATCAAAGGTCTTCAGTCTCCTCACCTGAAAATAGGGATAATTACAGTCTATCATTGTTGGATGGCTGTGAGGATTAAATGAAATAATCAAAGGAAAGAGTTTAACATCATACAGAAAAGATTCCATAAAGGTTAGCCATGATTACTAATGCCTAGGAAGAATTCCAAATTTAATAACAATTCTGGTAAACTAGTAGACCAGAAAAAACTTCTACCCTGCTTGATGACAGAAGCAAAGGCCCACTGATGGGAGGGACAAGAGCTCAAAGGGGAGTGAGGCTGCTCAGCCAGCCAAGTCAGCATACTCACAATCACACAATTCTTGCCAACGTGAACATAAGAGCCAATCTGAGCTGCGTTGACCACACAATCTTCCTCAATGAAGACGTGGTCCCCAATATGTAAAGGAAAAAACGCAACGCTATAGAAGAAAAAAAAAAGAACGAAGAACAGTCAAGGTGATGTACTTCTGGTCAAGGTTTACAGAACTAAAGATCATAACTGCAACTCCATCTTGTCTTAATACAACTGCTCCTAGCAAGGAAAGAATCCTCACATTTGAGGAATTCTGTAACACTGAAGAAGATGCATGTGACTACTAAGTCGAGATCAGAAATAATAGACTACAGAAATGTGCAAGGAAATAGCAAAAGAGCAAGGGCAAGACCTTCAAAGTTAGAAAAGCTAGCATCAAATAAAAACAAATGAACGTTTTGCTCATTCCAGCTGCCTCTGAAAATGCCCACAGATCACATTTTCATTAATCTGCTCTATAATGCTTCAGGGGTCTGAGGTAAGGTTCATGGATATAATTCCCAACATGCTGAAAATTTATATATTGTCTGGTTTTACTGGGTGTCTACTATATGCCTGACTCTATGCTAGGAACTGGGGAATACAATGACGAGCAAAAGGGACATGATCCTGTCCATGAAGAGATTACAATCAGAACAGATTAAATAAATGATTAAAATACATAATTAGTTATAACTGTGATAAGCACTACAGAGGAAAAATAACACATCATGAGGGCATGACAAAGAGACTTTATACAGAGTGGAGGTTTGGTAAAAGCTTAATTGAAAGTGACATTTAAGCCAAGACTTAAGGAGTTAGTAGGGTTTCTCTAGACTTGTGACATCATTCCCATTCTCCAAGACTCCTCAAATGTAACTGACAATGGTCTAAGATCATACTTCCAAGAAATTTCAGTACTTGGGATGTAAAATATTTGGACTAGAACTAGTACAAATCAGCTGGATACTCACTGGCTCTTTCCAGTCCTGTGTTCTATTTTGTCAGGGATATTTTATCAGAGATGATACCTGTCTTCCATACACGTATAACTTATTTAAATCTTCCTTAATTTATTTGCATTTTTAGTTTAGACCCCTTGGGTAACAATGGATTCCTTAATTTTATCATAGTCTATAGTAGGCTGTCAACTCTTCAATTTTAAACTGAAAATTCAAAACTCTTTACTCTTATCTGGTTCTAATATTGAGACATACAGGGGAGGAAATCGACATTCACCTTCTATGCATGTGTTACTATTTACACTTTCACATTTCTGTATTTCTCATGAGGACTACTTTTTAACTTTTTATTTTATATTGGAATATAGCCAATTCACAGTTTTGTGGTAGTTTCAGGTGGACAACAAAGGGACTCTGCCATACACATACATGTATCCATTCTTCCCTTAAACTCCCCTCCCATCCAAACTGCCACATGTGGACTATTCTTATTTATACATCCCTCCATTCACTGAAAAGACTGTTCATTTTCAGTCTTCTTCCTGGACCATATCCAGCCCAATAATGCCTTTATCAGGAGGTGGAGTCAACAATTCTAGCAGAGCATCAGTTACTGTATGAAATCATGAAAAGGCTTCCTGGCTCCCCTTCTGAACAATGAGCACCTTCTGAACAATGAGCAAATGTTTTCATTCGAATTTCACATGATATACAATGACTCCCTGCTCCAATTCTTGTATGTAATGAAATCCTGGAGTCCAGCATCACTCTAAGAAATGCAGATGATTCCTGCATGATATACATCCAAGTATTATTGTCTGAATTAACTGCCCTCTTCTGGTCCTCCCTAACCATGTCCATACCCCAGGGTCAGCAGAACCCCAGTACATAATGGCTATCCTGTTGCAGCATTATATTCTACAGTAGCTGTTTATTCAATCATTTTTACCACAAGGTGGTGGTGATTACTGTTGTTTTAACTGAAGTATAGCTAATTTTATGCAAGTTTCAGGCATACAACATAGTAGCTCACAATTTTAGAGGTTTATAAAATATTAGCTATATTCCCTGTGCTGTATAATATATCCTTGTTGCTTATTTATTTTATATGCAGTAGTCTGGACTTAATCCCCATCCCCTATCTCACCCCTCAACCTCCCACTGGTAACCACTAGATTGTTCTATACATCTGTGAATCTCCCCTTTTGTTACATTCACTTGTTTATTTTATTTCTAACACTAGGTTTTGAGACTGCATTTTATCCATATTTTATATGCCCAGATTATAACCTAGTGACTGGCATAAAGAAAACACTCAATAAATGATTGCTGAGTTATTGGATGGGAAGCAGATGGCGCACGGGTAGGAGCCAGGAGGGCCAACAGAGGGGGAGGCGAAGGGAACACCACCGTGTCAAGCGTAGGGGGCAGTCTTCCTGCCCTGTCCACAACTTCTCCTTGACAATCCTTATTCCCACTGAGAGATCAGTCAGCCTGACTTGACCGTACCCTCTGGGTCAAAGCTATTTGTAGACTAGGGGTGGGCACCTAACTGAAACTAAGCCAATCAGATTTACTCTAACCAAGATTTTGTTAATAGGACAATTTAAAATCTCTGATTTAAAATCTTCTGCTGGAAGCCTAAATGAAGAAGTGATGTAACTAAAAGGCTGAGGCAGCAAAGCTGGCTCCAGTGGGAAGTGGAAAAGTGGGAAGATACAGCAGGAAGAAAAAAGAGGGAAGAAAAAGTACAGAGAGAAGGACAGATAAGAAACTGTCTCAGTGGCAGAGTAGCAGATGGACAGAATAGTGGTCTTGATTTTGGCGAGCTGTCCAGCTCCAGGTTCCAGTCCCTTGTGAAACCTGGCCCCCTTTTTCTACCCTGAAATTCCATCAAATAAGCCTGTGTCTGTTTAATCAGAAACCCCGCCCCCTCGCCCCTGCTTTTGCCAGCTTAAGTGGAATGTCTCTGTCAACTAACCACCAACTAGACTGACAACCACCACCGACTGTGCTCATTATGATGTGTTCTCTCTAAGTTCCAAACAGAAGTACAGGCCTGCTCCTTCTCCCATGACTCAACACATGGATTTCACCACCAGGAGCAGCGTCTTGCCCAAGACTGAAACAAATGATCAAACTACATACCCTTTGCTGAATTTCTTGAACGGTGGCCTTATGACACTCCGACTTTTCACAACACAATGACGTCCAACTCTTACGTTTGCCAGATCACCTCGGATAATACAGTCATTCATCACAATTGTCTATAAAACAAAGCAGCACATTTTAAAAATTTATTTTAATTGGAGGCTAATCACTTTACCGTAATGTGTCGGTTTCTACTGTACAACAACGTGAATCAGCTCTAAGTACACATATATTCCTGCCCTCATGCGCCTCCCTGCCGCCCTCACAATCGTACTTCTCCAGGCCATCACAGAGCGCCGAGCTGAGCTCCCCGTGTCACAGAGCAGTTTCCCACCAGCTGTCTGTTTTACAGGTGGGAGCGCACATATGTCAATGCTACTCTCCCAATTCGTCTCACCCTCTCCTTCCCCCAGGTCTACGAGCCTGTTCTCTACATCTGCGTCTCTATTCCTACCCTGCAAATAGGCTCATCAGTACCATTTTTCTAAAGTCCATATATATGCATCAATATATGCTATTTGTTTTTCTCTTTCTGACTTCACTCTGTATGACAGAATCTAGGTCCATCCATCTCACTACAACTGACTCAATTTTGCTCCTTTTTATAGCTGAATAATATTGCATTGTATAAATATATATACCACAAATTCTTTATCCATTCATCTACTGATGGACATCTAGGTTGCTTCCATGTCCTGGCTATTGTAAATAGTGCTACAATGAAAACTGGGATACATGTGTCTTTTTGAATTATGGTTTTCTCAAGGTACATGCCCAAGTGGGATTGCTGGGTCATATGACAGTTTTATTCCTAATTTTTAAAGGAACCTCCATTTGTTCTCCATAGTGGCTGTATCATTTTATTTTCCCACCAAAGAGGGAGTCCTTTCTCCCACATCCTTTCCAACATTTATTGTTTGTAGATTTTTGGATGATGGTCATTCTGACTGGTGTGAGGTGATACTTCAACGTTGTTTTGATTTGCAGTTCTCTAATAATGAGTGGTTTGCTTGGAGATGAACAGAGATCATTCTGTTGTTTCTGAGACTGTCTCCAAGTACTGCATTTCAGACTCTTTTGTTGACTATGAGGGGGTAATCCATTTCTTCTAAGGAATTCTTGCCCCTAGTAGTAGATATAATGGTCATTTGAATTAAATTCGCCAATTCCTATTCATTTTAGTTCAATGATTCCTAAAATGTCAGTGTTCACTCTTGCCATCTCCCGCTTGACCAATTTACCTTGATTCATGGACCTAACATTTCAAGTTCCTATGCAATACTGTTCTTTACAGCACTGGACTTCACTTTCAGCACCAGATCCATCCACATCTTAGCGCTGTTTCCACTTTGGCCCAGCCCCTTCATTCTTTATAGAGCTGTTCCTCTGCTCTACCCTGTTCCTCTGCTCTACCCTAGTAGCATATGGGACATCTACCAACCTGGGGAGCTCATCTTCTGGTGTCATATCTTTTTGCCTTTTCATTGTGTTTATATTCAACATCACAGTAATCCAAGTCTATGCCCCAATCACTAACGCCAAAGAAGCTGAACAGTTCTATGAAGACCTACAGCATTTTCTAGAACTAACACCAAAAAAAATGTCCTTTTCATTATAGAGGACTGGAATGCAAAAGTAGGAAGCCAAGAGATACATGGAGTCACAGGCAAGTTTGGCCTTGTAATACAAAATGAAGCGGGGCAACGGTTAACAGAGTTTTGAAAAGAGAATGCACTGCTCATAGCAAACACCCTCTTCCAACAATACAAGAGACGACTCTACACATAGACATCACCAGATGATGGTCAATACCGAAGTCAGACTGATTATACTCTTTGCAGCCGAAGATGGAGAAGCTCTGTACAGTCAGCAAAAACAAGACCTGGAGCTGACTGTGGCTCGGATCATCAGCTCCTTACTCAAAATTCAGGCTCAGGTTGAAGAAAATAGGGAAAATCACTAGGCCATTCAGGTACGACCTTTATCAAATTCCTTATGATTAAACAGTGAAGGTGATGAATAGATTCAAAAGATTAGATCTGATAAACAGAGTGCCTGAAGAACTCTTGGAGTCACGTCTCCCTCCTGAGGGTCAAATTCAGGAGGAAGGGAGTTGGATCCAGCTGGGGCACTCCATCTGGGGGGCATCGAGCACCTCGATCCCTCCCCCAAACAGCCGGGAATTCCTCAGGGCGACCTCGGGTGGGGGCGCCAGGCTGGCTGGGGGGTTGAAGGGATCGGAGGCGGGGCGGCGGTGCGCTGCGGGGGAGGATGGATGGAGGTTTGTAACACTGTACAGGAGGTGGTGACCAAAACCATCCCCAAGAAAAAGAAATGCAAGAAGGCAAAGTGGTTGTCTGAGGAGGTCTTACAAATAGCTGAGAAAAGAAGAGAGGCAAAAGGCAGAGGAGAAAAGGAAAAATATGCCCAACTGAAGGCAGAGTTCCCGAGAATAGCAAGGAGAGAGAAGAAAGCCTTCTTAAGTGAACAATGCAAAGAAATAGAGGAAAATAATAGAATGGGAAAGACTAGAGATCTCTTCAAGAAAACTGGAGATAACAATGGAACATTTCCTGGAAAGATGGGCACAATAAACAACAGAAATGGCAAAGACCTAACAAAGCAGAAGAGATTAAAAACAGGGGGCAAGAATACACAGAAGAATTGTACAAAAAAGGCCTTAGTGACCTGGATAATCATGATAGTGTGGTCACTCACCTAGAGCCAAACATCCTGGAGTGTGAAGTCAAGTGGGCCTTAGGAAGCATTAACTACCAACAAAGCTAGTGGAGGTGATGGAATTCCAGTTGAACTATTTAAAATTCTAGAAGATGATGCTGTTAAAGTACTGCACTCAATATGTTCGCAAATTTGGAAAACTCAGCAGTGGCCACAGGACTGGAAAAGGTCCATTTCATTCCAATCTCAAAGAAAGGCAAAGCCAAAGAAAGTTCAAATTACCATACAATTGCATTCATTTTCACACGTCAGCAAGATTAGGCTCAACATCCTTCAAGTTAGGCTTCAGTAGTATGCGAATCTAGAACTTCCAGATGTACAAGCAGGATTTAGAAACCACAGAAGAACCAGGGATCAAATTTTCAACATTCGTGGCTCACAGAAAAAGCAAGAGAATTCCAAAGAGCACCTACTTCTGCTTTATTGAGTACACTAAAGCCTTTGACTGTGTGGATCACAACAAACTCTGGAAAATTCTTCAAGAGATGGGAATACCTTACCTGCCTCCTGAGAAACCTGCATATAGGTCAAGAAGCAATAGTTGGATTTGGACATGGAACCAACGGCCTGATTCCAAAGTGGGAAAGGAGTACGTAAAAGCTGTATACTGTCACCTTGCTTATTTAACTTATATGCAGAGTACATCATGCGAAATGCCAGGCTGGACTACTCATAAGCTGGAATCAAGATTGCTGGGAGTAATATTAACAACCTCGGATATGCAGTTGATGCCAATTTAATGGTAGAAAATGAAGAGAAACTAAAGCACCTCTTCATGAAGGTGAAAGAGGAGTGCAAAAGCTGGCTTAAAACTCAACACTTAAAAAAAGAAGATCATAGCATCTGGTCCCATCACTTCATGGCAAATACATAAGGGAAAAAGTGACTTGGGCTCCAAAATTACTGTGGACAGTGAAACTAAAAGACACTTGCTCCTTGGAAGAAAATCTATGAAAAACCTAGACAGTGTATTAAAACCTAGACAGTCAACATTATGAGGGCTTTTAAGTTTAACTAGGTCTCATTTGCTTATTTTTGTTTTTATTTCCATTACACTTAGGAGGGGGGGGTCAAAGAGGAAACAAAGCATAGTCTGTGGCTCAGATCATCAGCTTCTCAAGGCAAAATTCAGGCTTAAACTAAAGAGAGGAGGGAAAACCACTAGGCCAGCCAGGTATGACTTAAATCAAATCCCCTATGAATATGCAGTGGAGGTGACAAATAGATTCAAGGGATCAGATCTAGGAAACAGTGTGCCTGAAGGACTATGGACAGAGGTCCGTAATATTGCACAGGAGGCAGCAAACAAAACCATCCCAAAGGAAAAAAAAAAGCAAGAAGGCAAAGAGGCTGTCTGAGGAGGCTTAACAAACAGTTGAAGAAAGAAGTGAAAAGCAAGGGAGAAAGGGAAAGGTACATCCAATTAAACACAGAGTTCCAAAGAATAACAAGGAGAGACAAGAAGGCCTTCTTCAATGAACAGTGCATAAAAATAACAGGAAAACAACTGAAGGGGAAAGACTAGCGATCTCCTCAGGAAAATCAGAAATATCAAGGGAACATTTTGCCCAAAGACAGGCACAATAAAGGACAGAAATGGTAGAGACCTAGTAGACGCTGAAGAGGTCAAGAACAGACGAAAAGAATACACGGAAGAACTGTACAAAAAAGATCTTAATGAACCTGATAACTACGATGGTGTGCTCCGTCACCCAGAGCCAGATATTCTAGAGTGTGAAGTCAAGCAGGCCTTAGGAAGCACTGCTGTTAATAAAGCTGTGGATGCGACGGAATTCTAGTAGAGCTATTCAAAACCCTAAAGGATGATGATATCAAAGTGTTGCACTCAATATGTCAGCAAATCTGGAAGACCCAGCAATGGCCACAGGACTGGAAAAGGTCAATCTTCATCCCCTTTCTCAAGAAGGCTAGCACTAAAGAATGTTCTAACCATTGGACAATTGCACCCATCTCCCACGATAGTAAGGTCATACTTAATATCGTGCCTGCTAGGTTTCAGCATCATGGGAACCAAGAACTTCCAGATGTTCAAACTGGGTTTAGAAAAGGCAAAGGAACCAGAGATCAAATTGAAAACATCCACTGGATCATAGAGAAAGCAAGGGAATTCCAGACAAACATCTACCTCTGTTTCATCAACTACACTAAAGCCTTTAACTGCGTATCATAACACACTGTGGAAAGCATGGGAATACCAAACCATCTTACCTGTGTCATGAGAAATCTGTACACAGGTCAAGAAGCAACAGTTAGAACCCGATAAGGAACAAGTGATTGGTTCAGGATTGAGAAATGAGTACGACAGGGCTGTCTGCTGTCACCCTGTTACTTTAACCTATACATTGAACACATCATG